GTCATGGTGTGGGTTTTGTGCAGTGGTGGTAAGTAATGAAGTAAAAATACTTTGTTACTTTACTTAAGTATTTTTTTCGGGGATCTGTACTTTACTTGAGTATGTTTTATTTGCATCTACTTTCACTTTTACTCCACTACAATTTTAAAGACAAAGTTTACTTTTTACTCTGATACATTTCCCCATGCCCGCTCCAAGTATTTATTACACTGGCTTTCCAAACCAATGAAAAACTTGTTTTTCTTTTGAAAAAAGAACGCACAAGCTCTTTGCCAGCATACGCTCACATAGCAGTCAGTCAGTTCGCCATTGACCGCAGAAACCGGTGAAGCTGCAGCTCTCGCTGCCAGCAATGATCCCAAGATTTCCGACAGGGATCACCCATGGCCATATATCAATGATATGTTCGAATTCACTGAAGTGAATGGAGATTAATATCGGCTGAAATGTCTTCTTTGCCTGCCACGGGTGAATGAAATTTCAGCATTCAAAACTTTACCCTCAAATCTGATAAAACATATTGAGGTTAATTGACGTTAAAGTCCTTAAAATAATGTTTTACCTTAAAATAATGTTTTCAAAATCGTTTCAGCGGTTCATCAAGTCATAACAGGCTGAAAGGCACTTCTGCATTTGCTTTGTGGTCCTATATCTGCTAGAACCACACTATATAAGTTTGCCAGATCGGGTCGCGTTTCTGCAGTTCGAATGAGACATAAGAACACTACAAATCTGACTTGCTTTACGGCAAGTGTTACAATTGGACATCATTTACTCTAAAGCCGGTGCTGGATAAACAGTGGATAAACAGCGAGCGTGCGTGCGACAGTAGGCTGCGGTAGGCTAAATTATTTACGACAGCGGTAACGGACAATGCCGCTTCTAACCTGTAGGGGGACCGCAGAGGAAAAGTTCTTTAGTGTTGCTTTAATGTTACTATTGTTATCCAAGTGATTTCATATTGAAACGTGCCTTGTAAACAGCTAGCTAACAAATTCTTAATTGCAGTATCTAATCTTGTTCAAATAAAACATTGCATATCACTCCCAAAACAATTGATCTGCTTAATTATTGATATTTACAGTTAATTTGAATATTTACTTTTTACTTTCGGTACTTAAGTACGTTTTAAATCGGATACTTTTGTACTTTTACTCAAGTGATGTTTGAATGGAGGACTTTCTACTTTTACTGGAGTAATTTTTTATTTAGGTATATATACTTTTACTCGAGTATTACTTTTGAGTACTTTTACCACCCCTGGTTTTGTGTCTTGTGCCTTGTTCTTGTCTGTCACGTGATTCCCTGTTTGTCATGTGATCCTGCCATGTGTCTTGTCATTTTGTTATTGGTTTGCTTATTGTTCAAAGGTGTTCCTTGTCTTGTTGATTAGTCTCCCCAGGTGTCTCGGATTAACCACGCCCCCTTGTTATCTTGTTTAGCTTGTCTGCTTGTGTATTTATACCTCTGTGTTTCAGTTGTTGTTTGTCGGTCGTTGTTGTTGGTTGATGTTGCTTGTAGCTGTTGCTTGTAGCTGTTCCTTGTTCCTGGTTCCTGTCCTGAGCTCCATGTCCTGTTGATTACCCTGGATTACCTGTTTGTTTTATTAAAGTAGTGCTGCATTTGGATTCTCTCTCCGCTTCGTCCTTGCCGCAGCGTTACAGAACGACCGACCAAATATGAATCCAGCAGCACTAAAGGGGAATCTCCAGCCAAGTAGGCGACGCCTTATTCCGAAGATGGCCGCCGCCGAGCCAGTGTCTATGGACAACATGGCCGCCGCCGAACCAGTGTCTCCGGACAACATGGCCGCCGCCGAGCCAGTGTCTCCGGACAAGATGGCCGCCGCCGAGCCAGTGTGTCCGGACAAGATGGCCGCCGCCGAGACCGACCTGCAGGAGCTTATTCCTGCCGAGCCTTCGTTTCACGTCGGCCCTGTCGAGCCTGAGCTTCTCATCTGCCCTGTCGAGCCTGAGCTTCACGTCGGCCCTGCCGAGCCTGCACTTCACGTCAGTCCAGCTGAGCCTACGCATCACGTCAGGGACCACCGAACCTGAGACTGAACACGTCGTGCCTGTCGCACAAGAGACTGTTCACGTCACGCCTGCCGCACAAGAAACTGTTCACGTCGTGCCATCCGCACAAGAGAATGTTCACGTCGTGCCCGCCGCACAAGAAACTGTTCACGTCGTGCCAGCCGCACAAGAGAATGTTCACGTCGTGCCCGCCACACAAGAAAATGTTCGCGTCACGTCTGCCGATCCAGAGACTGTTCGCGTCACGTCTGCCGATCCAGAGACTGTTCGCGTCACGTGGGGGGGGGAATCAGTAGGTCCCGTGAGAGGACCAAGGAGGCCGCGGCGTCATGGTCTCCTGAACTGCCGGCTCCACCGTGGCCGCCCGAAGGGTCGTCTCCACCGTGGCCGCCCGAGGGGTCTTCTCCGCCCTGGTCGCTTTCACAGCCTGCTTCACCCTGGTCGCCTGAACTGTCGGATCCGCCCTGGCCCCCTGAACTGTCGGGTCCACCCACACTCCACAACCCTGGCCCGCCATTGCCATGTCCTTGTCCTATTCCCCTGCATGGGCCTGGCCCTCCATCCCTCCCCCAAGACCACCTCCGTTCCTCCACCCTCCTGAATTATTGTGTTTTTTCGTTGTGATGGGCGTCAGGAGCCGCCCATAGAGGGGGGGCTATGTCACGGTGTGGGTTTTGTGTCTTGTTCCTTGTTCTTGTCTGTCACGTGATTCCCTGTTTGTCATGTGATCCTGCCATGTGTCTTGTCATTTTGTTATTTGTTTGCTTATTGTCCACAGGTGTTCCTTGTCTTGTTGATTAGTCTCCCCAGGTGTCTCGGATTAACCACGCCCCCTTGTTATCTTGTTTAGCTTGTCTGCTTGTGTATTTATACCTCTGTGTTTCAGTTGTTGTTGTTGGTTGATGTTGCTTGTAGCTGTTCCTTGTTCCTGGTTCCTATCCTGAGATCCATGTCCTGTCGATTACCTGTTTGTTTTATTAAAGTAGTGCTGCATTTGGATTCTCTCTCCGCTTCGGCCTTGCCACAGCGTTACACTGTTGGTTTCAAAATATGTCTCCTTTATATTGTTATTTTCTGCTCGTCCGCACTTTGTAACACAACCTTGTTTCTGCAGTGACTTTCAGCATGTTTCCTATAACATCATCTGGCTTGAGAAAGTTACATAAACCACGCGAAATCCGATCAGACTGAAACTGATTTCCAGAAATGCGATTTGAATAGGATTTTAAACCAATGTGAATGTAGCTCGAAACGGATTTGTAAAAATCGCATTTCATGTGATTTTTCGCAGTTCCTACTTGCTCTGATCCTGATCGGATTTTAATCGGATATGCACAAAAAACGGATTTGTGCAGGCAATATAAAAAACAAAGACGATGATACTAAAAAAGAGAGCAGAGTTTTTAAACATCTATGATACGAACCCTCATGTTTTGCTTGTATATAGAGCTGTCACTGTAATACTTATGAGTTCTGACTTTTGACATCACTGTCCTTCCACTGACTAGCTTTCCCAACTGTCTTGATAACGTCGGGTATGTAAAATCTTTGAAGTAACTCTTATGAGTGCAGAATTGTGACGAACATGGATCTAGAGTGACGTAAATGTCGCATGAATTTCGATATGACTGTTTAGACTGAGGTCGCATTGCAAAACATCTGACCAGTATCGGATTTACTTCCACATATGGAAGTGGCACAAATCAGAATGGAAAAGATCAAATTCCATGTGGTTTGTGCTGTTCACACTGTCATGAACCCCCCCCCCCCCCTCCCTATTTTTTTTAACCTATTTTAATCCAATAAAAATAACTAGTTTATAAAGAGTGATTCATTAATGTATCGCGCAACACTTTTGTGCTCTGTTTTTGATACACTAATAAAAGTAATTAATTCACACTCTGCATTTCATGTTTTTGATTCACTAAAAAGAACCGGCTCATTTGATTCATTTGTTTGGGAATAGGACTAGACTACAATGTTCTTTAGTCACTATCACTATTATATTGAACCGACTCGCATATGAGTCATTCGTTTGAGAATCGGACCGCATAGTCACCACGCGTTCTTTAACTTTATTTAGGAGGTCATAGCCTATTCTGATAAGAGCCCATGATAGAACCAGCACACAAATACTGCCATCAAACCCCCCTCAAGAGAATGCTTTGAATAGCCTAAAGTAACAACACATCAGCGCTCACATTCCGCTGCATCCAAGTCTGTCTCAAGTCCATGCCGTGTTTCTGAGTCCAAAACCGACGACTGCATTTACCGGCAAGCTAGCCATGGTTACTTAAAATAGTCCAATAATGACAATGAACTGCCCTGCAATCTCCACAGATTACAGAATCGATCTAAATGTTGACAGCAATCTTTCCCTTTCTGTCACTTCAAGACTCTGTTGCACAATTGCTGACAGACAATCACCTACACCCTTTCCCTCACTATGAATTAGACGAAATAAACAGCACAAAAGTACCGGGAAATAATGAACGAAGAAATTCAAACGTTAAGATAAAATGTTGGTGACCTAAAGAATAGACGCGCGCAATGAACGTCGAAATTAAGGCAGATATTACGCACTGAGGTAAAGTTACGCGCCTTTCTCTGGTAATTACTTCGCTCCTGAAATTTTAAACCAAACCATATGCCGTGAAATTAACTCTTTCTTGGATGTGGTTTTTGATCTTTTTATTAGAGGAACGGGATTTTATGAAGCCTACTCTAAAGCTGGTGGTGCTTAATACAGAAAATATGTGTTGATAAATACGATAAAGAAACAATAGCATAGTAGCCTATGTGTTTTTAGGTTATTTGCACATATTTTAAATATACGAGTTTAAAATTAATGTATAAAAGGACACATAAGAAGACATTGTTATAACTCAAAGGGGCAATTTCAATTTAATCTGCTCATGGTCATTTTGCATTAGTTGAAGGGTTATAAATCATGAGGGTACCTACTTGCTTTATCAAAGGGGATCTGGCGGCAGGAGTCTGGGTCTGATGCCGGCCAGGGACAGTAGTACACCGCTCCTCCCTCCACAATCCCTGGCTGAGAGGTGTTCGCTTTAGGTGCCCCAACCAGCACCGACATGCTGGAGAGAGAAAGGCATAAATCTACGCACAAGCGCATCCTAATACTGAATCACAGGAATACACTTACAAGTGACAATATGAACCCCAGAAAAGTCATTCAAATGTGAGGTAGCCTATTTTAGTTCAGCATTTCCATTTAAATGTAGCTTACTTCATTATCAACTTCTGGCGCCTGAGTTCATTGGTCCATATTGGTGGTGCTGAAAGTTTTCATACAAGCTGTGGCAAATGTGACACGAACATTGTAGGAATAACCAAACTACGTTATACGACATATAGCCTACTGGAAGCTGCGTCTCTTTGGGAGCTTGTCAATTTTATATAAACAAAAACAAAACATTTTTTTATCCCACTTACGCGTTTCTGTCCTGGGTTGGCTGGTAAAAGTCCAGTGAGTAGCCAAAATAACTTCCTTCTGGTCCATTGTAAACCGTTGGCTTTTCTAAATCTAGATTAAAAGCAGCAGCTTCGCAAAAAAATAAAAATGTGAGCAAAAACCCACGAGAAAACACGAGGAATAAACACGGGTGCATGGCTTCAGCCCAATTTCTTCAAATGTAATCCAAAAGTTTTGAATAAAGATGTGCAGAGAGAATGTTATGTCCGTGCTCAGCTGTCATAAGACGAGTGTGTGCTGCTCTCCATCTGTCTGCTGCTGCCTTCATGCAAGCCGCGCGCCTTTCTCAGTCTGCGCGAGCTCTCTGCGTACTAAACATTATAATGAGCTGCGCACGAGACCGGACTCCTGCACCACATCACACAGCATCCGGCCAACTCCTTTTATGGATACACAAACATAATATGCATTTGCACACAATTTAGACAAATAAAAAAAGGAAAATACCTCTATTACGAATATTATTAATAGTGATACTATTAGTTTTATACACATTATTATTGGTTTAGACATTCTACATAAGTAACTTTGCAACTACATGTCAGCTACTTAGTCAGTAGAATATCTGTTGGGAGCATCAAAATAAAGTGTTCCCAGATATTAAGCAGACAGTCTACTAATGCTCTAATGACAGTTGACATGTAGTTGCAAAGTTACTTATAGTTAGTAGAATGTCTAAAGTGGACTATCAAAATAAAGTGTTACCTTATTATTTAGATAATTAAGCTACTTCATATATTTGTCAATAGAATTGACTTATTTTGATGTAGCATCAAATGTATCAAATTCTCATCTCTCTCTCTCTCTGTATATATATATATATATATATACATATATACATATACATATATATGCACTATTTATATATATATATACACAGTATATGCACTGTACACACACACACAGTCTTTATATTTATTTGATCATCTTTGGCTTTAAAATAACATAAAAATAACTATAGTTTTATAGGTAGCCTAATTTTTTTGTTAAATAATTTTTTAATTTTATAAGCCCTATTAAAAAATAATAGCAATGACAAATAGTATTTATAAAAAAATGACTTTTTAATTAAGATAACATTTTTCAACATTAATATTGCCATATTATTCGGATAAAGTTGTTTCAATTTGTGTCAAACTTACTGCGGATGTTTTTAATTACGCAACTTTAATACCGGCTGCGAATAATGAACGGTAATTATCCTCGTCAGACGTCCAAAGTTAAACTTTTGTACGAAGCGCGCGATAAGTATAACCTTTGGAAAATAAACGGTGCGGGTGTTTTTAAGAGAATCTACAAACGTGCATCGTTCTTGACCTGTTTCCTTGGAGCAAATCTAAATTTAGGTGCTCTGTTCACATCTGAGCACAAGACACGGGCTGCTTCTGCTCTCCATCTGGGTGTCAGAGTTTTAATCCCGTCTAAATGAAGTCATTCCCTTCACCACCTATCCTGTGATCACCAAACAGTCCGTTCCAAGTTCCAACTGTAAACAATCTCACACTTTCTAGAAAACCGCTCAAAAACACTTATGAAATTGTCATGGGGTGCATACCATGTGGATATTATTATTGCTTTACATGTTAATTATGATAATAAAATAGTGACTTTTTTATACAAATAAGCTTTTGTATAGTATACAAACCAAAAGAACGTACCATTTATAGGGAGAATCAGTGCCATTTGGAGCAGGGCCACAGGTCTTGGGCTGTGTGCTTTCTTGTGGTGCCATCAGCCAATCAGCATCAGCATGTGATAAATGACCAATCATGTACTGAACACTTTCAGAAGCCAGGCCTTGAATCAATCACATCAGAGGCTATGAGCCTGAAAAGAATTCACATTTCATTACAATTCATTTTGCAGAAAAGATAATACAAATCATACAGTTAGTGTCATGGGTCAGGGTGTGTCACCGGTTCTTCTCTGTTGTTTGTTTTGGTCCTGTCATATTCTGCAGGCATGGTCCGGTAGTGCTGTGAGCACAATCATGAGCTGATCCCCTACACCTGTCGCTTGTTTCCCTTACCCTTTATATTCCCAGCTGTGTCTCTCACTTGTTGTCAGTTGATCATATGCTTTGTCGCGTGCATGTCCCATGTTCTGTGTTCTTCTGTTGCTTACCTGCTGGCGTTTGTGTTCAGGAACCTAAGACGAGGGGTTTGTAAGCAAGGCCATCTCACTTTCTGGACCCGGCATTCGTCATTCAGTGGGTAGCCCTGTTGTTCTCTGCCTGTCCATTGAGTGCGGGGAGTGTGCACGGGAACCACCCTACGGAGAGTCTACATTTTTGCACCGTGTCACAGAAAACTTTGAGAACAAAACAAAAATAGTCTCTAATAAACTTTTCTCACGTTCTTTACAGCATCTGAGTCCCGACAGTTAACGTCATGTATTCATTTACATGATGTTAGACGTTACATGTTGTGATCATGATTATTACAGTACATGGAAAATTTGGTAGTCTATATGTTGATTCAGTGTTTGCATCATCTGAAGTCCTTGCAGGGGTTGGCCTTGTCTCTTCACAAGAGTTGGGTCATCTTCAAAACTTTGTAAGACGCTGGATCCAAACTGGAGATGACGCAATCTTAAGTTACCAGAAAAGCAAATGGAGAATAATTAGCGTAGCTGCTGTTCATAACATTTCAAGCAAAAGATAATCATGTGCATCTGATATAACTGTAATAAGGTTATAAGATGCATTATGTGAATCTCATAATGAAAGAAACTATACATTTCACAAACTAATACGAACAATAACACATGGATAAATAATTTATAGTTTATTCAGAATATACTTTGTAATCAAACATCATTGTGAAACATCTAACCTGTTAAAAAAGGGGTGATTTTACCTGATCTTCCAAAGATAAAAAACGCTCAAAAATATAGACCAAAAGCACTCCACAGTAGAACTAGCAAAACATTTCCTTACACAGCTGCTGTTGAGATAACGTATGATTTTGGCCCTCTCTCAAAGAAAACCAGGTGAAATACATAAAACCCGCCACAGCAGCGCACATGCATCAGCCAGGACTGAAGTGCTGCTCTGCTGGCCATTTTTGGGTTCTGGTGAAGATTATTGGTGACAATCTTAGATATAGTGTTGTCTGTGCAACCCAGGACTAAAAGCATGATGATTTGATTCTGCACACACAATAATGGGTTCAGTATTGGATCTTTGGTAATTGTTGTCATCGCTCTGTCTGGTCTAATAAAACACACTCACAGTAGTGAGTCGATACCCGCTTCTCTTCACAGAACTGACATTTTTAGCTCAGCTGCCTCTGGAGTCTTTTTGTAAACAACGAGAAGGGCTCATCTCTAACAGACAGATTTTAAGAAAAATAATAGATTAGGCATGGTCCATGTATTGTTCTTTCATTTCAGGAGGAATGAGAGAGCTGGAGAACATTCTCTGAATTCCCCTCTAAGGCTCTGAGAGGCAAAGAGCCAGACAGACTCTTTATCTCACTGTCCAGAAACATTTCAAAACAAGGCTCACAAGCTCAAAAATGTGCATGTCGTCCAACTACCAGTTGACCTGCATCATTGATTTTACTCTTGGTTGAAAAGCATGTATGTTCATTAAACACAAGCATGATTTGACAGAAATTGCATGTACTGTCTGACGTCAACCCAACTTTCATTCCCAACCAAAATCCAACATTTGTACGACGTCGGATGTTGACGTCAGTCTGACGTTGGGTTCTGACATCAACCCAACTTTCGGCACTGACACCTAGAGTAACTTTTTTTCTCAACTTGTTAACAAACTGAGGTGTTTGATTTGCATCACGTGTTTTGTTTTGAAACTTGATTAAAAGCTTTATCTTAGTCTCATCTGATTACAAACTCCTTTCTTTCTGCATGGGTTACTATTACACATTATTGGCAAACTCCAGATGTGTTTTATATGGTTCTTGAGTAACATGGCTCCATCCTCTCGTACAGGCCAGTGTTCTGTAAAGCTCTTTATATGATGGAGTTTTTAGTGGATAACCTTTATAACCTGCTATATCAAACCTAAATGGTTTGATATGCATCCTCTTCCTGACAATTGAGCCACATTCATATTTGGATATCATTTTCAGATCTTTTGCATTTGTTTTATTCTAGCTTTTAATCTTCTTCAGTCACATTCACTACTGCCAGACTTATTATTCAAACAGAATAACCATTAGTAAGAGGACAATCAAGTTTCAATAAAAAAAAACGGTTAAGGGTCTAAATACTTTCTATTTTACAGATGTCACTTTCTATTTCTATTTTAGTGACGTTTGAAATAAACCATCCCAAAATACACTCTCCTCCACATTTTCTCTTCATTTATGAGATCATTTAAGATTTCTCGAACTTTTGTTCTGCCAAGAACTGATAAACTCTGGCTGAAACGTATAAAATCCTCCATGTTTTCATATTCCAGACAGACATCAATATTAGCGTCACCTAACCAAGAATAGAAGCACCTGTCAAACACCCGTTTGTGTTGATAATAAGTCATTATAATACATACACTTGTCTTGGATTGGCTGGAGTGATATAGAACCACGGTGAGCCGTAACAGAATCCCTTACATTGTGCACTTCATAATGTTTATGCAGCGATTACTAGTGTCCTCAACGTTTACATCATTTTAGCTAAGATTGTTTATGATGACGCAACAAATGTCTGATAGCTCCCAGCCGACCCAGGCCCACTGATATTCTTTAAAGCCAAAATTTAGCAGGAACTACACAGACATGAAGACTTCAATAGGCACATTCTGGCAAATAAAAGCCTTGTATCCTGCATTTTGCATCTTGTTTTGAATTTATTTTCTCTGCCATTGAATATTGCTTGTTTGATGTGGCGCCAAGTTGTTTCGCTGAGAGCTTAATGAAAAATTTGGTTCCACTAAATGTCGCTTTTAATTCTTTCTGTAATAACATGGAATTTGGGCAAGTCACTTGGCCCATGAAAGATGTGTTCCATATGTCACATGCACCCTTAGTGGTAACGTTTTTAATTATCTGTTGGTCTGACCTTTACAGAGGAAACCAGAGCAGCTTGATCTGTGACCTTGAGGATATTATGGGCCACAACGATCACATCCTGTGACATCCAATTTATTTGATGGCACAATCTTAAGCCTAAATCTGATGTAAACCTCTGAAACCAGTCCAAACACAGTTTAACTGCGAAAAAAGAAAGAAAAAAAGGCCAGTAATTGGCCAGGAGAATTAATATATCCCTCTCAACAGTTTATGATAGAACGCCTCAAAAGGCAAAGTAAACCAATCAACAGCTTTAGTGAAGAAAAGCAAAATTCACTAAGCAACAATATAGAGTAGTGGTTCTCAACTTTTGACTTGAAGGCCCCCACTGTCCAAAACTTATTCAAAGTCCCCTTAAATACGCTAATGTTTCCTTTTTGTGTGTGTGTCAATATATCAAATGAATATATATAGTTGAGAACCACTGATATAGAATATTATGAAACATTTAAATAACTCAAATTTAAGTAAAACAAATAAAATAATTTAAGAGCATAAGAAAAGAGTTTATTGAATGCATAGGTAAATTATATAAATAAATAAACACACACACACACCTACCAATACCTTTTACTAATGACCCATTTACACAAATTCCATTAAAAGAATAGTGGTATCATCTACTACAGATTCAAATACACTTCCACATACTTTACCCTCCATACAACATATCACTTACCTAATCGGTCACTTACCTGCAGTTTTTGACAACAGAAGTAAAGCAATTTTCCTATAGTAGAGTTACCATGCCATGAAGTTCAAGTCAAGCAAAAGACAAGTTCTTAATGCTGTCGCTCGAAGCCAGGATCCACTACTGCTGCCCCTACTGACAGCATAAGAAAACATGAAAGACATTCTGATTGAAGGTTAGTTTTTCCAGAGATTACCAAAAAGAAAAATATATATAAAATTAATAAAAAGTAATGTGCAAGAAATTCTTTGTTATCTTTTGGTCAGGAACATTTAATCTTACACAAAAACACACCACAGTCCAGATGTGAAGAACAAAAGTGTTTATTTTAGTGAACCTTAAAGATCAGAATAAATAAAGGGTGAGCGTTTGTCTGTGTTATTCTTCTCTCTCATGCAGAGAATCATAGTGTCATTCCACAGTACCTCCTGGAGGGTTGCTACTTCAAACTTTAAATAATAAAATTGCCTTATTCCTCCACTATCGTTTGGTGCCCAGCATGGGGTTGTAGTGCATTCTTTTGTAAACCTGTCTAAACAGACTTCCTCTCAGGACCGAGTGCTGCAGAACATGGCCGCTCCTTAGCTGACCATTAACAAAACACAGATACTTTGTCCAAAAAGAGGCTTTGGTCAAATGATCCCTTAAATATTGCCAATACTGAAAAAAAAAAAAACAAAAAAAAAAAAACCCAAAACCCAAACAATTATATATATTAATTAATAATTCCATAAATTACTAATAAAATCATCACAGTTGATGTGCTAATTCAAAGATTTATCATTTCAGACAAGTAAACAAAATCATGTACAAAGTTGACAAAAATAATATGAACACCTGCAAAAGCAAATACATTTGGTATACACAACAGATGACCCCCCTCACACCCCAAATAATCTGTTCAAATCCAGGGCTTTAAACACAAAAACAGTCTTATAATCAAGCCGGTTGAGATGTGTAAAAAGCAAACAATAGGCGTTGTGTGAGCGCCAGGCGAACAGCATCGTCTCTCATTTGAACTTCAGGCCCCGTGTTGGCCTTTCTAAATGTAGTGCCGAGAGAGTGAGGAGTCCTACGAGCGTTCCTGAAGTCAGCGGGCTGTGCAGCCAGAGGTTGGCAGGTGAAAGGTGAGAGATAACGGTTAATTTAGGGAGGGTGACCTTTCTGTGGTCCACAGAAGCTCGATGTAGGGCCATTTGGTCTGTAGACAGCGCTTGACTGGAGTGTCGTCTGTACGTACCATGGGGTCCTCAAAACCCATGACCAAAGCAGTGCCCTCGACATAACTCACCTGGTGGAGAGAAACACAAGGGGTGAACATGCAACACATTGGCATACATCCAGTCAACTTCCTGACCCTCTAAATAAAACCTGGCGCGTTTCTGGAAATGCCAGGGTTTCTCTCTCTGTATGTGTCTCATTAGAGACCTGGCCTCCTGCTATGACATCATCAGACATAAGACAGTCGATGACTTCCATATGGAGGGCGTCATATTGCGGAATCTGCCCTTGACAAAGTGTCACGATAAACATGCGCCCTCATTTTTCTGAACATTCTGTGTTGCTGTTATACATTGTGTTACCCAAGTGAAACCTGTAAATCCATTCACTTATATAAAGGCCGCATGTGTGTTTCACAAGGTCTAATAGTGCAGTATTGAGTATGATGGGAGATCCACTGACTCCTGTTGACCTTTAAATCCAGGAATTAAGCTTCGCTGTCCACAATCATCAAGACTCAGAGACATCCCTTCACACAGAGAAAAACATCACTCACCAATCAACTTTTTTTCCCCTCCAAGTTCATTAGCATTGCGTAATTCAACCCAGTCTTGAGTAAAAGCCATAAAGCTCTACGGCACTCCCTCTGGTGGCAGCCACAAACATCTCTACACCAACATTACCAGTCTATTATGCAGTGAGGCTCAGACATGCTGACAGCACAAATCTCTCTGTTCAAGTCATTGGGAAGCAGATCACACACTTGCAAGACTCCACTTGTCATTTTTCTTCTAAATGGCCAACTAACCTCTGATCAACCCTGTTTCAGCAAAAAAGTTGCTTTTGTCATCAACCATGAGCGTTGCATTCATCGGTTTTCCCAGAGTTAAGAGAACTATCCATCAAAACAAACACATTGCTCTCTGTAACTACAGAGAGACAGATTGATTAAAGAGTGCAAAAGCAGCAAATAGGCAGGTGTAGAAAAGGATGTTGAGGGATGATCTTTTGAACTTTAACCTTTCAGATCTGAACTTTGAAGATCTATACTTATTTGAAGCTTACTATACTTCTACTATTACTTCCATACTTTTCAAGCAGCCCATTTTTCCCAACCCGACCATTCTTCATTTTACAGTTGTACTCTAGCTTTTGGCAGTAGAATGCAGCGGAAGGAAGGGTGACATCTTCTAGCTGACTAGACTGTAAACTATAACCAGCCATTTCCAGGCCCAATAAAGCGCTACAGTACATCTTGTTTGAAGGCACACATTCATCATGGCTGCCAGTCAACTGTGATTGTGTGGAACAGTGAGGTTATCCATGTTAGTTAGAATATGCCTTTCATAAAACTTGTCAACACTCTTTGTATGTTTACTTGAAATAATCCAAATATTTCCACTAGCCTGACAGATTTCATGTTTTGAGTTTTTTGTTGTTGGCATATTCACCTGAAGATAATAGTCTACTGTTGGTCAGCTTGGCTTTGTGTTCAGTTATGTCTATATATATATATATATTTTTTTTTAATATTTCTTTATTTTCAGACCAAAACAAATGCACATGTGCATAATCAGTCTTGCTGTATACACAAGGATTGAATAAAAGAAGTGACTGAACCAGTACCACATCAAGGACTGATTGGTTTCCACACTTTTTACCAATGAATTTCCAATTAACAATGATTTTCTGGAGATTGCACTCACATGTTTTGCTGTGCATTTCTAGTTCACAGTTTCTAGTTGAGTACAACTAGAAAATCTTAAATATCTAATAAACTAGGAATATTCTGGAAAGCATTTAAATCCGGTGGAAATCTGCAGTTTTCTCTATGGGCAAAGATTCAGTCCTTGCAAACATCTTATGCAAATACAGAAAAAACTATATTGTGAAACATTATTATAATTCAAAAGAACAGTTTTCTGTTTTAATATATTTTAAAATGTAATTTATTCCTGCGATGGCAAAGCAGTCTTCAGTGTCACATGATCCTTCAGAAATCATTCTAATATGCTCATTTGGTACTCAATATTTTTGTGGAAACTGATATATTTTTCAGGATTCTTTGATAACATGTCAAAAGAACTGCATTTACAATGTTTGAAATATAGAAATCTTTTGTAACATTAGGGGTGACCCCGAATAGTCGAAGATTCGATGCTTCGATAGGAGGAGCCTGATTCGACTACCAATCTCACGGTCGAATCTTCGCAGATGTGTTATTAAACGAGGATTATGTCATTTTGGCTATATGAGTGTGCTCAATGTCTGATTTCACATAGAACTACCGTTTTTCTGTCAATACGTTAATATACAGCCTATTATGATAATGCTGTCAATAAAAATGTGCAAAGAAAGAAGCTTTTAATAAATATTTTTTAACGTGCGTGCAGCGTGAATAAATCCAAACACCCCGTGACAGATTTAAGTTTCACTTTTGATCCGTGACCGACAGAGGAGCGTCTTGTCGGCAGGGATTTAAATCTTTAAAAATGTCTGGGATAAGAAAATCTAAAGATGCACACCATCAGAAAGGATATTCTCCCAGGCTGGATTTAGCATCAGGAAAACTATGATCGCACTTCTGCCGGCCAACGTTAACAGGTTGGTTTTCCTCGGGACATTGATTCTAAAACGCTTAACGTGAAAAAAGCTTTTAAAACGCTTAAATGGCACTTTTACGTGCTTAATGTATGTACACAGTAGGCTACACACCTTAAGAAACCATTCCATGTGCAGATAAGCAGATGAACCCAGAATATGAACGCAACCCGTTTCTCCTATAGAAAGTCACGTAAAGCTTTTTCTTTAACGGTTTTCTATGGGAGGAAAATGCTTAACGTAGCCTATAATAAAACGCGTTGCGTTCATATTCTGGGCTCATCTGCTTTTCTGTAGGCTATATAGTATGCTTTATTAATAAGGTGTGTACAGAATTTGATCTTTTAATATAACAGTTTTAGGACAAAGCCGTTAAACGTTTTTCATGTTAAGCGTTTTAGAATGTATTTTATCCGTGCACACAATGTGAAAAGACTCAAACGGACACAGGCCGAGTGAAAGACTGGATTGTGTTTTTTCGATCAGGTATGGGTACAAGTGATTTCAAAACATTTCAGCCGGTTCTAATTTGATTTTTGGATACTGTGAACACGTTTAGCTAAAAAGACTGCCGCTCCAGTTTAGCGTTTATTGTTGTTTCTGCAGTTAAAAAGACAAAGTTGACAATCCTGGTCATACTTTCGTTATTTTAATAATTTCTTAATAATTTCTATTTTTATTTTATTAATTGATCACTCGGGGTGATCTAATTTAACTATTTGTGACTTGTGTTTTGAATATTTGTTCCCCTGCACTTTAGGCATTTTGCACACATTTGTTCTGCTTCTTGTGACTTGATTCTGACTTATTTCATTTTGGTTTTTTATTTATTATAAATGTATATTGTGTTCTTAATTGTTGATTATTTTTCAGTGCATCGATGTTGCGCTGTAGGCTTACTTAGAGCATGCTCGTACAGGCAATTCAGCCGATTTAATTTGATTTGCATGTGAAATGCAAATCCTATCTGCAGTGTGGCCTTTCTGCAGTTATTTATGTTATTTCTTAGTTTTATTGATCCAAAATGTTTTTCTACATTTTCTTCTATATCTTTGTGTGATGTTCTGTAGATCGCGGCTTTAAAATGTTAAAGCCTCGCCCCCTCCCCAACACCACACACATGATTCAACTATTAGTCGACTATAGGCAGGACTTGACGAATCTGATTCGACTATGAAAATCCTTAGTCGGGGACACCCCTATGTAACATTATAAATGTCTTTACTGTCACTTTTGATCAATTTAATGCATTCTTGCTAAATCAAAGAATTAATTGGGACATGAAGCAGGAGTGCTGGAGGAAGACAGAATGAGATCAGATCCCTTTGGATGATTATATGACTTAAGCAGAAGGGAAATCTGGGCTTTGGCTTCAAATGCCAGTATGGTCCGTGTTATGGCCAGGAGCTCCTTACATTTGCAAGGTGTTTGGTTCCTGAGAAAGGGCCCCTGTGAATATACGAGTGGCACAGAGGAAACCTCAACAACAAAGGCTGCACACTTTACTGCTTCTGGCTAATGCGTTTTCCAGAGTAAGGAAGAGTAACCTGTGTGTCCTCAGGGACCTGATGTGGCAATTCCTACCCATTACCCCTTAACTTCTGTCAATCTCTTTCTCACACACATGCACTTCCGCTAAGAAGCATAGGTCACACACACTCCTTGATAAATTAATGTATGAGGTCGGCGGGGTCCTTTAGTGATTAAGGATGGCATGTGTAAATATCATTAGCACTCTTTATGGGACATAAGACTGGCATGATACATGAAAATAATTCACAATGGTAAGAAACGCACAGAAAAGACATGAGATGAGAATAAGTACTTGAAACAACATCAGAAAGCATAATAGAGTCTTTGTTTGAATCTTTTTTTATTTAAATGCTTTTTTGTAAAAAAAAAAAAAAAAGGATTGGATTAGATTAAATAAAATCAAAAGTTAGTACAAAAGAAGTTATAGCAACTGCTAAAAATGTGAACAGCAACAAAAATAATAAAAGTTTCAATATTCAAAAAAATAATATTCAACTTGTTCCTTTTTAAAGCATATTTAAAAGTTCTAGCCAGGTTTTTCAATTTAATATTGGAGAGCTTGAGAACCAATGGAGAACATTATTCAAAATATTTCCTTTTGTGTTGCACAGAAGAAAGAAAATTTCATATGTGCTTGGAACGATGGGTGAGTAAATGACAACAACTTAACCCTCTGGGGTCTAAGGTGTTTTGGGGTCCTTGAGATGTTTTGACATGCCCTGACATTTGTGCTTTTTTCAGTTGCTTATAAACATATTAAATGGCAAAAGTGTCATTACACTCTATTTAGCACAAACAGGGCTACCATAATATGTGAGCAACATATATGTACATGTTTGTATTTTTGAGAGAATATTGTTTATGCATGGTTATTGAAAAAACAAAAAATTAAAGTTTCTGAAATAAGGCCACAAAACACATACTAAATATGTGTCCACAAGACTTTTGACTAATGGATGTTGTCGCCAAGAGTTTTGGCTTCAAAATGATCTGAAAATCATCCTGCCTAATCATTCACATAAAACAATAGATTGATTTAAATTTTGCAAGACACTTTTTGTTTGGAAAGGCAATATGCGAGGGGGGCGTGAATGATCATGAATAATGCTCTGATTCACACCTGAGAAGACAATGACCCGCATAATGAGCTGCATAATGAGCCTTTCATTCAGGTGTGTCACTGAGCCACACGAAAGAATGCAAGGACAAAATATATATATATATATATATATATATATATATATATATATATATATATATATATATATATTTCTATATACACACACACACTACAGAATTGGTTCGGAGTTGGAAACATCTTGAAAAAAATTCTTTTTCCAAATTGTATAATATCCATGGTAAACATTTCTAGTAATTGTGCAGTTAATTCTCATACTGTATTTTCAGAAAGTTTTGGAATATGTATCCTCTCCCAAAATTGTTCCCTAATAAAACACAATAAAAATAATTTAAACAGAAGGCTTATATTGACCTTTTAAGATTTTGTCTACCTTGTAAATATTTGTTTTGTTATTTTATTAAAAAGGTTACAATTACAACAATTACAATTTTAACAATATTTCAAGTGAAATCTTACTTTGTAAAAAATAAAGTATACTTTTTACCATACGTATTTCAAAGTTAAAGGGATACTTCACCTCTGGAAAGATGAATGTGTATTTAAAATGGGTCATTTATGTAGAAGAAATGTGAAATTATTTTTGAATTTGGAGCTTTCTAGACTGGGAAAAGCCAGAAAATTTATTTTTGGCTTATGTGGATGAAAGACAACAACTCCCAGAATGCACTTGCTTCGCTGCCCTAGAAGGCCACGCCTACCGGTAACGGAGCGCAGTAGTTAAACAACAAGTGTAGGCTACTAGTGAGTCTCCGTGATGAGTCTCCCCGGGATTTCGAGATCGCCCAAAATGTCCGGGATTCGGCTTTTGCGTTCTACAGTCGCAATTCATTATGTTTACTGTGGCGAGCAGGACGAGGCCGAGGGCGTGATTACTGATGAGAGACACCTGTGAGACGCACCGGTCTCGTATCTCTCATGGAGGAGCGGGAATTTTCTAAGCAATATTAAAACGCAACCGATCACTTGTTTAGCGCTCATGTAAAAACTACATTCAGATTCACCAATCGGAATGAATTCAGTTAGATTGAAACAAAAGGTGTACATGTAAACAATGAATGGCAACTGCAGAAAGCAAAAGCTGAATCCCGGACATTTTGTACGATCTCGACGGCCGGACATGTCCAGGAAAAAGAGGATGAATGGTAACCCCTAGCACTCAGCTTTCTCTTACTAAGTTACTCAGCTTTCTCCACAGAACAAGAGCCTGCTAGCTTAGCTTCCAAAAAAGATGTCTGACACTATGTGTACATTCTGTGAGTGAGATCCCACCTAGGGGTGTGCGATATCACGGTTTTTGATCGTGGACGATTAAAATGTCTCCACGATCTGCTTTTGAAGAAATATCGTAGTATCGTGCATTTTATGCAGTTCTGGCGCCGAGCTCCGTCTCAACATACAACAAATGTTAATGCAGAGGAACGGGACACTGCGGTTCACAGAAGTTCATTATTTGCATGTGCTTTAAAGCCTTGCTGGTTAAACATGTAATTCACGTGCTGATGCGCTTTTCTGACGTGTGCTTTCTGAGCACATACACCCGAAGCACACGGGCACTAAAAGCCTGTCTAACAGCGTCTGTTTACTGGACTACGTTATAAGTTATCTTTCGAGTCTTATTGCGCTAATATTGTCAAATACACACAAGGTTTACATAAACAAAGTTGGTTATGTCTAAAGTGAAAGCAAACAGAAAAAAAATGAGAGAAAATCTGCTTGTCAAATGCGTGTTAGACGCGTCGCGTGCAGCTCTTAAAGCGACAGTAGCCAGTTAGTAAACAAGCTGCCTCTTGTCCTTAAAGAGATAGTTCACCCAAAAATAAAAATTCTGTCATTATTTACTCACTCTAATGTTGTTCCAAACCTGTATTAATTTCTTTCTTCTGTTGAAAATAAAAGTTATTTGGAAGAATGTGGCTAACCAAACAGTTGCTGGTCCCCATTGACTTCCATAGTAGGAAACATATGGAAGTCACTGGAGTACAGCAACTGTTTGGTAAGCCACATTCTTCCAAATTACTTTTATTTTCAACAGAAGAAAGAAACTTATTCGGGTTTAAAACAACTTGAGAGAGTAAATGATGACAATTAAAATGTTTGGGAGAACTATCCCTTTAATGTTAATAAAACAACAAAACACAGAGGAAATCACTCACTGCTCTTGACTGAGAACTTTAGTAGTAGCTTTAATAATAATCAATGTATAATTTATACAGTGAAGTCTATGTTGTGTTTTATTTTCGTATTTGTTCATTTAGCCTAATTACTTTCTTCAATGCTACTGTTAAATACCCCTACTGTAGCTGAAAAAATAAAGCACTGTTTATTTCATTTGTATATTAAGTTGTGTATGCTTAATGTGTATCTTTGTTCCTAATTCTTAATAACAAAGAAAATAATGATAAAGATTTTTATCTTCGCCACTTTGGCCTAAATGTCTGCCATTCTTTTTTCTTTTGTTACCTATAAGGATTTTTTTTTTTAAAATAGGGACATTAGTTTGGCTGTAATGCTCAGTCACTTGCAAAATAGTAAAACCAACATGAAAAAGAATCGTGATAAAATCGTTAATCGTGATTTTCCTGAAAAAAATCGTGATATGATATTTTTGCCATATCGCCCACCCCTAATCCCACCCTCTATTGGCGGGTTGAAAACATGCGGAACAGCTCCTTCTACTGGCTGTAGTCTTTAGCCTCTGGCCAAAAAAATCCTCCAATAACGCAAAATGACAATTTTTGCGTCATCGGAGGATTTTTTCCAGACAAAAAATACATAAATCTCTCGTCTCAGGGGGATATGAGGGTGGAAAGCACGGTAATTTGAAAATACTACAGGTTTTCTACTAATACAAAGCTTAATGCTAAATCCTGAAGCATCCCTTTAAGGATTCATTAGTTTGAATATAGCCTACATTGGAACAAACACTATAATAGCATCTTAGCTGATGACTTTATTTTTGACAAAACATACTATATATATATATATTTAACATATGAGCAGAAATTGGCAAACAAAAGCTTTTTTGATGTGGCAGTAGTCTGTATGTAAAAACTGTAGTCTGTAGTCAGACTACTGCCACAGTAAACAGTAGTCTTTTACAGTAAAAACTTTATAATCTATCCAAAACTAGTCAACGAAATGTCTTTCATATTTCGTCTGTAACATATCGTTTTTATGATATATTAGGGCATATAAATGTTAATTTGCAGTTTAATACGTTGCTTATACAAAGACATTTTATTTCTTTGTTTCGGTGGTGATGGCGCAGTGGATAAGACACATGCCTTTGGTGTGAGAGACCCGGGTTCGAATCCACTGTGAGACACCAATGTGTCCCTGAGCAAGACACTTAACCCCTAGTTGCTCCAGAGGCGTGCGACCTCTGACATATATAGCAATTGTAAGTCGCTTTGGATAAAAGCGTCAGCTAAATGAATAAATGTAAATGTAAATTTCAACATATTTCAGTCGATTTTTACTCATCTCAGTATAGCAATATAGTTTGGTAAAAGCTGTTCATTCATTCACACACAGAAACGCGATTCATATTTAAACAGTCTTTTTGCGGTTTACAGACACTATTTCATATTGCGATTAGAACAAAGCACTTAAGAATAAAGGACTTATTATTCAATCCTCAACTGGATCCATTGATCCTCGAAATGAAAATAAACCAGCACTTCTGAGGTAAATTTTCTTATTAACAACCAGGATTATTATTACGATAGTACTATTCCTCACAGCGTCTCAACATAAAGTACATGAATCTGATTAAACTCGGTGTGTTGTTCCAGCTGATGTGGGCGTTCACAGGTTTGCATGTATTGCCTCAGATAATTTGCGTTTGCGTTAATGTGAACACGCCCACGGGCTCTCTGTGGGCGTGTTCACATTAACAGATAACGAGCTGTAATGGGAACGACTGACATCTCTCTCTTTTCATACAGATTACATAAACAGAGAATATTAGTTTTGAATTAGATAATTTGTAAGTACACACTTAAATTATTATAGATATATTACTCATGCCTGGGAGTGAGGTGACGGAGAGCCAGAAAACACACCCAGTTTATTTTCTTTATTTTACAAAAGCACAATGTTTTGTTTCGCTTGTAAGTGGACACATAAAAAAGTAGACATTTAACAATTTATTTTTTCATATTTCTTAAGTCTGTATGACGATACATGACAGAGTATTTTAAGTCTATTTTGCTGCTATGCAAAAAAAAAAAATCGAGCAAAACACGCCGGCGCGTTTACCGACCCCAGAGGGTTAATTATTCCTGTAGCTATAATTGCTAAAAACAGAAATATATTTAAACTAAGTAGAAATGAGACCATGAAATACAACTGAACTGTGACTAACAAAACCACTGAAGGAACAAAACTGAACTAAATAATTTTACACTAAAATGCATTTGACCATGTGTCTTTTAAATTATACAAATAATCTTGCCCGGTTTAACCCTGTATAAACACAAATCAAGAGAAGAGAGAGCATGACACATTCGTCTATTGAAACAGTTTCAGCTCTTCGTGGCTTCAATATACTCTGCCCAGTCTCGAAAGCTGTCGACACTCGCAGGAAACACTTGGAACGTTATGGGTTTCAGGAGGCTAAGAGGTCTTAGTGGTGTGGGCCGTATGCCGGGGTGGCTCACAAACTCCACATCCCAGGAATCAGACAGGATAAGACTGACCCACCAGCGCTTTCATGCCAGCAGGGGTAATATGTTATTAAAGTGTGCTTGCATGGTGGCCATTAGAAAGCAAGCGGAGTGTAATGTGTCTTACCTTCTCATTGTGGTTAGACTGCTTCAGGCCATTATAGTGATACACAGGAAATGAGTCTGGGATCACGGAATCCTGGAAAAGAGAGACGACACGTGTCAGTGCGGACATGTACATCATCAGCTCTGTGGAACATCAGCAAACAGCTCAATGTGTCCTTAAACACTGACATATACTGCCTAGATCTGACTCAATCTATAGGATGCAAGAAAAACATTTCAGTGACTTAAGACAACTTAACCAAAACATCCATTTCCAGCTCAAACACATCACAACACACTACATAAACTCAAACCAGAGAGCCTAAAACAACGGTCTAGTGGATGGTTTTAGATTTAAAGACATGCTCAATGCTGACAGCACACTGAAATACATTGCTTTAAGTCCAAAACAATCACACCCCCCATCCGTGGAGCTGCTGAATAGACTCAATTACAAACCAGAGCTCTGCAGACCAACTCAAACTAGCAGCAAAATCCAAGCACACAGTCTTGACAGGAGCCAAATACCTCTGTCTAGCCCCCGTACCACATGCCTGCCTCGATGCCAAAACTACAACAGCGAGTCGAGTGCGTGTATGTGTTTGAGTGGGCCTGAAATAGGGTTAGAGTATTTGATTTGATGGTAAATTGAGACCTTTTTTGTATGTATCCCTAAAGCCCTAATCTATTTAACATAGAGCAGTTGAGCTGCAAGTCCATGCCAACTATAACCGTCAGCTTCTCCCTCTCTCTCTCTGAGGGGTTACATGTACATAGATTTTATCTGGGGCTGATTGTAGGTTTATTTGAAAGTAATGAAAAAACAGTAAGAAAAAGCAAACAATGTTGAGCAAGAGCAAGAATCAAGGGGAAGAAAAAAAGACAGCAGGATAGCAAGGATAGGAGAGTTAGCCCTGTTCCAAAACCAAGTGAGCTGCCTTCATGTCTACTGCCTGCATAGGCAGCATCCTAACCAATAAACTTTATAAGGGACTGATTTTAAACTCCCTACATTGGCTGCAACTCTGAGCACCACACAAATACTCAACTCACAGTTGATTCCAATAGAGTTTGATGTTAACATGTTACTAAGATAACGGCATATTACTCTAATAAGCTCTAATAAATAAAAAATGGTTAAATATAGGTGTATATACTAGGGCTGTGAATCTAAAAAAAAAAAAAAAAAAATCTATACAAATAAATAAAATATACATTTCAAATTAAGACAAGTAAACAGTGTAATAAAATCAGAACTAATAATCAAACTACAAGCAATAGCACAAATAAACAATAGAAGTAGGGATGTGCGCAACAACTAATTTCATAAATGTTTAAACAGAAATTTTGCAACCGACTAGTTGACTAGTCTAAACCTCCCCCCACCCCCTGGAGTCTGTATATGCGATCCATTTGAAATAGACTACTTAATCTATGAACGGACAGCAGCAGGAATATTAAGCTGTTGTCATTTTAAGACAATGCCTGGATCCAAAATACTGATACTGTTATACATCCATTGACTTTCTTGACTGTCTACGTTCACTTAAGACATAACCGACTAGGTTTACTAGGAAGGCCTTGCCAAGACAGGCCCATTGACAATTTTGTGTGAGACGACGACGTGAAAGAGAACGTCTGGTATTTGTATGGTGTACAGTGTTGGGCATGTTATTTAAAAAAAGTAATTAGTTATAGTTACTAGTTACTTCTCACAAATAGTAACTGAGCTAGTAACGGAGTTAAATCATTATAAAAGTAACTAATTACCAGGGAAAGTAACTATTGTGTTACTTTTTTTTTTTAAATGTTCAAATAGGCCTATGTCAAATAACTTGGATGCCCCCAATATTAAATATGTTAAATTAATGAAATGGACACTAAATAAAATAAATTATTATTATAAAACATTGTACACTAATCTACACTATTGTAATGTTGCTGTGGGACAATGTGAGAGACACCAATTAAATTCAATATATTATTTTAAATATTATCATTACTATAGTAGAACAATAAAACATAATAGATCAACTCATAATAGATTTTAATATTTAATATTGCACAGACCACAACTGGCCAACAAATAAGTCTAAAAATAAATTATGCTTCTTAAGAAATGTACCAAAAATGAATAAATAATAATAAAAAATATACATACACTCTTTGTAGTGCAAATTAAATGATAAAACTGTCACACAACTTCACAACTGGTAGACATACTGTAGCCTAAGTATTTTCTTCCTCACAAAAGTAAACAGTTTAAAGAAGTGCTCCCAGAACCTTCCCAGAACGTTCTCTGAAGGTTATTTTTTAGATTTTATTTGTATAACCATGTAAATTAATTAAAACGTTGCAGATGATATCAATAGGCTACAGAGATTATTCTAATGCTGAAATTTGTCATTTATTTATAAACAAACTATATAATGCACGGACACCCTCGGTCTCTCTCGCGCACTGTCGAGCGCGCTCTCGGACACACCCGGTCTCTCTCGCGCATTGTCGAGCGCGCCTGCGGTGTTCGCTTCGCTTTTGTCCAGTCCGGCACCTCATAAACACACACACACACTAGAGAAAAAAACTTTGCAGGTCCTATGGCGGAGAGAGAGCCTACTCGGATGAAAACCGCTTCAGTGAGCTCAATTAGGCTATAGTAATGCCACATTTTATTGTTAGTAACGGTAACGGCGTTGTAACAGGGGGGAAACAGTAATTTGTTTGATTACTCGTTACTGAAAAAGATAACGCCGTTTATTTATAATGCCGTTATTCCCATCACTGATGGTGTAAGATGTTCTGGGCGTGTGCTTCAAACAAGGGCGTAGGTTTGATTTTGACATTGATGGGGACATAAAAGGGCATTTTTGCACTTTTGACCGCAATTGCATTCCATCTAAAGCCTTTATAAATAGATAATGGTAGCCAACCCACCATAACATCATTTTTATTATGTAAACCAAGAACAACGTTCTGTACTTTATGATAGAATACCTAAACAAGCATGTAACAGCAAAACATTTTATTCAAGGATTGACATTAAGGTTAAGTCTAAATTTACTATAATTAATCAATTCTGTAGCATAATAATTTAAAAGGTAATGACGACAAGTAGGCAGTTTAACAGAGACACAACTTTAACTTTTCTCTGTCCATAGTGCAATCGACAACATCTCTCTTTCAGTGTTACTTTGTGGATATTTCAGCTAACAATTTGCTTCATACATTCAATTTATCGACAATAAGTTAAAGAGGTTAAACTTTATCATTCAACTGAACCATGTATGTAGGCTTTGTTTAAAACACATACCTTACTCCATCCATGCACTAAATGCATGTCCTTGAAAGAGCGCAGTTTTCTAGCGTATTATTTACTTTGACTTCTCGGGTATCAATGGTATGACCCATTTTAAATGCGTGAAAATTACCACAACAGTGGTTACATATATTACAGTGGTAAAAATATTTTAATTGTTGTTTAATGCTAGGGATAATTCAGTAGTATAGTTTGTCAATTCTCTTTACGTGGCATGTGTAAGCCTTTCTTTGGAGACTTTGATATTGTCTAAAGACTCCGCTGTTCAAGTTGACTTAGGCAGGTCATTCCACCAGCAGGGAACAGTCAAGGTAAAGGTCCATGAAAGTGATTTTATGCCTCTCTGGGATGGCACCACAATGTGCCATTTTGGTCAAATGTTGTAAATATATTTGAACATTCAGCATGAAAGAGAGACAGTACATGTAATACCTGACCAGGAAAGAACTCCAGCAGAAACTGACCCAACAGAATAATACCCAATCCCTCTGGATCCAGCTTACTCTTCATGAGATTCACACTGAAAGAGAGAGAAAGAGAGAGAGAGAGAGAGAGAGAGAGAGAGAGAGAGAGAGAGAGAGAGAGAGAGAGAGAGAGAGAGAGAGAGAGAGAGAGAGAGAGAGAGAGAGAGAGAGAGAGAGAGAGAGAGAGAGAGAGAGAGAGAGAGAGAGAGAGAGAGAGAGAGAGAGAGAGAGAGAGAGAGAGAAAAATGGGGGATCATGAGAGGTATAAGTTATTGTGTGTGCGCGCGAATGTTGCATGTTTTCTGCATGTATTGCTCATTGGCATCTTTGGCCAGTAAAATGTGTTGTCTGAGGCTGTAGTCAAAATTAGCTATAATCATGAATTATGTTCAGATTCTAAACATATAACAGTGAGTAATGCTTGGAATCTAACAAAAAAAAAACTCAGTGATGTTAAAACAGGGTAGACTTTTCCTTTTAAAGTCATACAGCGAGACTGATAACATTACTAATGCTTTCCCACACAAACTGCATTAAATGCGTGTAAGAGTGTAAAATAATAAGAGGATGATAAATGCTTTCTCATGTGATCACAGGTCACTTTAACTTACACATAAAAATTGAAACAATAATAATCATTTGCCAAAATGCTGATTATGTTGTATGTGGATTCAGAGGAGGCTAAAGCAGGGTTCTGACTTCATTGACACTTGAATAAACTGCTTTAGACAGAACAGTGTGCTGTGTAAAAAACATATGACTTAAAATTTATTCTGTCAATTTAACGTTCATGTAACAACCCCTTTGAAAGGCTGAAGTTGTCTTTCAAGCTGTCAAAGGTTGATGTGATTTAAAAAAAGCAGGTGGTTTGAGGTGAAGGTTTCAAAGAGCTCTGGTGAGTGGATTTAAATGGGGCTTTAGATGAAGGACCCTTTCTTCATCTTAAGCCCCATTTAAATGAACATTACTCTCTAATTCTCTTCTCTGCTCTACATGAGTCTGTTTGAGTGGCATGTGAAGAAAGGGGCATAGAACAAATCTGGTTACATCACATTATGACACAAATGTCACATGTGTGAATTAAGCAATACAATACAAGATGATGTGCTATATTTGTAAATTACAGCGGTTTATTGCTTTAAAAATGCTTACTGTAAATAATATATATATATATACATACCGGTATACACTACTGTTCAAAGGTTTGTAGTTGGTAGGATTTTTTAAGAGTTTTTAAAGAAGCTTCTTATGTTTATCAAGGCTATTTCTATTTTAGTATATTTTAAAATTGAATTTGTTCCTGTGATGACAAAGTTGAATATTCAGCATCATTACTCCAGTCTTCAGTATAACATAATCCTTCAGAATTTATTCTAATTTGCTGATTTGGTGCTCAGGAAACATTTCTTATTATCAACAATGTTTTAAACAAGTTGAACTGCTGAATATATCTAATAATATTAACATAAAACAAATATATTTTAAGATAATGACAGTTACTATATTGCGTATTTTAGCACTGCTGGAACAATGTACTGACCAATCAGCACCCCGGCCAGGACTGTAATGATCTATTTTATAATCAAAAACGTATACATATTCACTCACTCAAACACACTTATCAACTTACTAGTCTGGCTCGGAGACGAGATCCAAGGCTTTCATAACATCTTCAAGCAGCGTGTCTGGAATGAACCCATTATCTGAAGATGAGGAGAAAGAGGAAAGAGGCAGATGGTTAGAGCTTCTGAGAGTCTTGATCACCACCCACACAGTCTGCCTGTGTCTTATGCCCAACATTAAACATGAGTTTCATCTCTCTAATCGAAGCCATTCTGCCGACCACGCACACATATGTGCACAAACATGCCCAGACAATGGCTGATAAATAGATGGATGTGTGCTGTATGTTGTTTTTCCTCCTCTCTGGTCTCCAAGTGTCAGACAGGATGTTTGCAGAGCAGCTGGTATGCTAAACTCTTTTCCGTTCACTATAAAATGAACTCTCTCCTTCAACTTTCCTGCAGTGACTAGATTAAGAACAATAAATATCTGTCCCATGACATGAAATTAGATACAGTCAGGCGTTTTGAACAGTGCGTTAAATAGCACTTTGGCTAAAATAATGTCTATTATTGCCATAAAGGTATTCACAAAACGTTACTTAAAATGTGATGTATTTCTGAGAGAAATAGAATATTCAGTGGGAAATAATGTAATACAGTGGATTCATTTTGATGCACACGTTTTGGAAATTATTCTTTAGAGACGGAATGCACTGAATAATAATGTATAATAAGACAAGGGACATTAGGAAAGTAAACAAGGTTTATTTTAATTTCATGTTGTTTCAGCATTTTAGCAAGCATAACACTATGCTACAGAATGTCACTACACTGTTACACTGTCAGATGCTTGAGAAATTATGCAAGTGTTTCTTCTCCTTTAGACAAATGAAATGCGTGTAAAAGATCTAATTTCTGTGTTTGGAGCTGGTATAAACACATCCAAAGTGTAGTTACGGAAACTGAGCTGAAATACGCGGGCTCTTTCTCATCACACGCACACACAGATAGTATTGTTCTTATTAATGCGAGGAACAGGAATGTTGTTTACGACGCCAAAAGGCAAAAAGATGCCAAGCAAGAACATCTAATCTTGTTCTTGATGACACTTTGAGTGTGTGTTGTAAATTAGATACTTTAAATCAAAACTTTGGAAGACGACTTGCGTTCTCACTCTGACACATTCAGTGATATATAAACACACACAAAACTCTTCTACCTGACATGAGACAGTGCAGTGGGCGATCTCGGCTCCAGGATCTCCTTTATTCCATCAAACGCCCTCTCTAGCTATTCTCTATATTATCATCAGGAGTCTTACAAGAGCAATAAATATCAGAGACAAAAAAACTTCAGGCAACAAAATCTAGAAAAAAAAAACAACCACTTAACAGGATATACAGGCAAAGATATACTGCACTACATATGACTAAGGGAGCATCAGGGGTTTGTTCATAAAGCTAGACTGCTGACTTTGTCATCTGAGCACAATTACTATCTTAAATGATAAATCATCATGTGAGATCTTCCTCCCCACAAATCCTCAGCAGAACTTCAAACAAATAAATCACTTCTGGTCATTTATCATATGTAGGACATATTTGCAGACATTTAGTCTGCAATCATTACTAGAGAGAAAGTAATCAGTGGGTTTGTTATGTTAATATTTGTTAATCTGGTGAAAACTAGAAATTTCGGGATAATATAAAGATCAAAAAATTTGAGTAAGGTCATGGCTTTTAGCTAGGTCATGACAAAAATATTAAGCAGCACAACTGTTTTCAACATTGATAAGGATAGGAAATGTTTCTTAAGCAGCAAATCAGCATATTACATATCAGCAAATCAGCATAGAACTTGTTCTTAATGACTTGCCTGTAAAAAAAAAAAATTACAAACATTTCTGAATGACACTGAAGACTGGAGTAATGACTACTGAAAATCCAGCTTTGCCATGTCAGGAAACAAAATTACACTTTAAAGTATATTAACATAGAAAACATTTTAAAATATAAATTTTCACAATATTTTTGATAAAAAAAAAATGTAGCCTTGGTGAGCACAGGAGACTTCTTTCAGAAACATTTAAAATCTTACTGACCCCAAACTTTAAGGGCAGTGATTGAATACATAAAAAAAGTTTCTGCTTGGTGAGAACCTGAGAGGTTAAAACATTTTTATTTGGGAGCTATATCATCACTGTATCAGAAAATGCATATTTGTAATTCAGTTAATATGCCAGGATCTCTGTCAAAGATCAATTGTGTGAAATGTCTGGTTTTGTTTGTACTTTCTATGTTAAGGTTTGGCTTGTCAACTGAAGCATGTTTTAACAGTGGCAGTGAAACCATATGTAGGTGGATGTGAGGGAGTCTGCGAATGTGCATTCTTGTCATTATGACAGATATCTGGCCTTGTGTAAAGAGATACTGTGGGAGAGTCATCAAAAGAATGGAGGGCTTAACCTTATAAACCTAAAAATGTAGCCACTGACTTGCATATCTGATCCCCATATATGCTCTCACTCCCTTACATGTGTAGAATTCTATATCACTGCTCTTTTACGCCACTGAAATAACGCTTTCGCATCAGATCAAATTTGGCCTTTTCTTTTCCATTTCCCATTCTCTCCTCCCACAACCTCAGTAACAGTAAAACATAAACAAACACGGTAAGTATTGGATCTTTGCACTGTCTGATAAGCTGCAGAGATAATAAACTTGCTCTGTTTTGTGAAGCTACAGCTCATCTTCCTCTCAGAGAATGACAAGTTGACTCAGCTGCTGGGGTTGAGTTGACATTTTGAGTTTCTGTAGTCTCTTAGGCCGTGTGTTCACAACGTGTTTTTTTTTCCCGAAGCTAGCGTATTTTCCCAATTGTTTTCAATGGGAGTGCTGCGTTTTTAAAACGCCAGGTTGGGAGGTGTGTGGGGGGGGGTATATGGGGCGATATGTATATCAGTTCGCTAGATTGCCATCTGCCAAAACATTGAAAACAATTATATCATTAAAAACTTAACATTCTCATTTTCAGGAACCATTGTATGTGGGTGGGACAAGACACATCCACTTTTTAAGACCAATGATATTGACCCACTCACATCAAGCGCTCACAGCTAGGCACGCTAAAAACGCTTTAGTGGACACACGGCCATATTTGCGCTCACAAACACAGTCGCAGACAAATGAAATGCTTAGGTTTGAATTATCTTACCTTCTGGATCAAAGGTCTGGAATACTCGTCTGGCCTGCTCCGATGGGGACTCGGGGGCAACCAAAGCCATCTCCTAGAGAGAGAAGGAAATATGAAATAGAAATGAGTGTTGTGGTATGGGAGGCAGTTTTGCGATGTTAAAATACTCTTATTCAAAGTTTAATGTGTACAGACAAAGATAAGCTGTTCATAAGTTGATTTTCTGTTCATGAGGGGATGAGGGAGCGCTGAGTTCATTTGGCCTGAGTGTGACCATTCTCTTTGAGGAACCGGGAGGCATGAACCGATGATGCAATGTGCGTTAAGGGCCCTTGCTGAAATATGACAGTAAAAATCTGAAAATGTTTACATGAACTGTACTTGCATCATTTTGTTTGTGTGTGCATTTGCGAAGTGACTGAGTGTGTGATTGTGTTTTGGGAGTGTGTAAATGATCAGGAGAAAAACTCATAAATGGCTAAATTGTACTTCGACCAAGCAATCTTATAGATCTTTAATGAAAACAATCTCTATCTCTCTCTCCCACATGCACACAACTCACAAACAGACTACGGATTTTGCTGATTAATAGAAAACAAACCCAGATCCATGTGTGTTTGTTCTTGGGACAATAAAACACATCTGTCTGTGTGTGTGTGTGTGTGTGTGTAAAAAATGACTCAAGCTGGAATATGCAGAGTCAGCATGCACAGCTGAATCACGTACAGCTAAAACAGTTCACAGAGTTTTCCATCAGTACATTTCAATAACGTTCACAGTGTCATTTAGCCGTGTCATGTCAACATTCATTCATATGTACAAGATGAAAGAAATATGCAATATAATGCACTACAAACTAAAGTATCGATAAAATATATCCACTTACTTAAAAATGTCCCATTTAATCTTTGTTTCTTTAACCACTAAGTGACCAGAAAGTTTAAAATCAGTGCCATTTCAGTTAGGATGTTGACTAATAAGGTAGTTGCCTATCTAGGCCGTTAAAAATGTGGAACAGAGCTAGAGTGATGCAAACTTAATCTGACCCCTGTTTTGAACCCATTCACTCTCGTCACCTGTCTTTCGCTCACACACTTTCTGATTCCCATTATTAGAAGGGGAGGCAGGGGATTATGGGGTTAACTAGTTCTCATGCTGACTGATGGTCAGAAACAGGTCAAGTTATCAAAACACTGCATTGGAATTCATCAATACTCTTCGAATGTGGCGAACAAATTCCAATGGTAATATGAAGTAGTGTCTGTAATAAATAAACCGCAAAAGACTGCTGTTTAATTGTGTGTATACAAGTCTGCATGTTCTGAGTGAATGAGAGGCACAGTTTCGTCTACAAATACAATTCAATGTTTTTTAATAAACTAATTGTTGTATTTTCATTCGATTACATTAGAGTTTTGATTAAACTGTTAAAGTTGAACTAATTAATTTGTTTAACAGTTTTGATAACACATTTGTACTAAATCACAAAACACAGAATCCAGAAAAATCCAAACAAAACTTAGAAAATAAACTTAATATGGAGTTTGGGAAACTACCCGATTATTGCTTAAATTTTAATAAATAAATAATACGTTTTAAAAATTTTATCAATTAGACATGTTTTTAATTATAATTTTTTTATTAAACCACTAAATCAAGAAAAAATTTAAATGGAAAAATAAATAAAATGAAAAATAAATTTTATTTATTTATTAAACAGTATGGAACACTTCCTATACAGTTTTGGCAAAGTACATGAATGATGCCTCCTTGTTGTGAGATAAGCTAATACTGAAATGATCAGAAATACAATTTTTGCACACTGGACCCAGAATTCAGCCATCAAGTTTTGCACAGGCAAGACCCACTCACATTTTATTAAGAAAATCTAACAGTCTAGTAAAATATTAAGTGTTTAAAATTTACTGCAATCAAAGAGAACAAACATTAGCAATGAACATACAAACACGGTCATGGAAGAGTGAACATAAACACAGGCTGTGAACTTTCACAGTATGCTTTCAGTGCAAAACTCACAAATATCTCCTCTTATTTCACAGAGAAAATATACAGCTCGCATTCACACTAAGACGGGGACAAAGCAACCGAAGAGATACAACACTAAAGAAAAAGAAGGTACAAAGGACTGAAAAAGTAGATGACAAAGAGAAGTTGCAGCTGGATTCTGTTTGCTTTAATACTACAATTTGAGCTAGTACTCCACACAGACAAACTAGACACCTTTCCACAGTCGAATGGCAGATAGTCAGAATAAAATTAAACTTTCAGAGCTCTTGCCTGAGGCCATGTGGAGTTATAAACCCTCATTCCTCAAGTAATGATTTGTTAGTTTTAACTTACATCAGTGCTTAATAAAAGTGAGAAGTTTCAATAGGTAGTCGATGTGGAGACATCTGCAATAAACTCTTAAAGGGATAGTTCACCCCAAAATAAAAATTATCCAATAATTTACTCACCCTCAATCCATCCTAGGTGTATATGACTTTCTTCTTTCAGCCAAACACAATCGGAGTTATATCAAAAACTATCCTGGCTCTTCCAATGTGTGTGTGTGTGTGTGTGTGTGTGTGTGTGTGTGTGTGTGTGTGTGTGTGTGTGTGTGTGTATGTATATATATATATATATATATATATATATATATATATATATATATATATATATATATATACATATATATATATATATATACACACACATATACAGTGCTGGTCAGAATTATTTGCCCCCTTGGTAAATGTGATCAAAGATGGCTGTAAAAAATAAATCTGCATTGTTAATCCTTTTGTTATTTTATAAAAAAATTTTTTAGCAAAAATCTAACCTTTCATTGAAGTAAAAGAATTGAAAGTGAAAAAATAAAAATAAAAATAAATCACATTATGAAATAAATGTTTTTCTCCAAAACACGTTGGGAACAATTATTTGCCCCCTTTTATTAAATACTTTTTGCAACCTCCTTTTTCCAAGAAAACAGCTTCTTCTCCTATAATGCCTGATGAGTTTGGAGAACAACTGACAAGAAATCAGAGACCATTCCTCCATATAGAATCTCTTCAGATTTCCAGACCCATGTTGACGCTTCTTCTCTTCAGTTCAGCCCACTCATTTTCTATAGGGTTCAGGTCAGGGACTGGGATGGCCATTGCAGATACTTAGTTTTGTCCTCAGTGACCCATTTTTGTTTTGATTTTGATGTTTGTTTTTGGATCACTGTCCTGTTGGAAGATCCAAACATGGCCCGTTATAAGATTTCTAGCACAGGCTGTCAGGTTTTGATTTTTTAATAAATTTTAATAACGAATTTCACCAGTATCCAACTCGTAGTAGTTGTCTTATTAGGCCTCCTTACTCTCGTACGACTCAAACACAGTTTAGTGTATTATACAGAGGGTCAAAGCCTAAGGTATGGAACAGTCTCCCCACATCACTTATTGAGGTTTCTAAAGAACAGTTTAACCCTTTGGGGACCAAGGTGTTTTTGGGGCCCTTGGGATGTTTTGACATGCACTGACATTTGTGCTTTTTTCAGTTATTTATAAACATATTAATGGCAAAGGTGTAAATTCACTCTATATAGCACAAACGGGGCTACCATAATATGTGAGCAACATGTATGTACATGTTTGTATTTTTAAGAGAATAATGTTTATGCGTGGTTATTGAAAAAAATAAAAATGAAAGTTGCTGAAATAAGACCACAAAACACATACTAAATATGTGTCCACAAGACTTTTGACTAATGGATGTTGTCGCTTCGAGTTCTGGCTTCAAAATGATCTGAAAATCATCCTGTCTAATTATTCACATAACACAATAGATTCTTTTAAATTGTGAAAAACATTTTTTTGTTATCCAAGGCAATATGCGAATGGGCGTGAACGGCCCAACCCCATTGTGAATAATTAGGTGGTTGAGAAGACAAAGACGACCCGCATATTAATGAGCCTTTCATTCAGGTGTGTCACACAAGAAAGAATGCAAGGACAATATACACACACACACACACACACATACATACATACATACATATACATATATATCTATATATATATCTATATATATATATCTATATATATAAAATCAAAATATGAATGAAAGTCAAAAGCACATTTTTAGTCATACCTGGAAACAAATCCAGTTCAAATAGGTTATATGGGCCATTCTATAGAATTGGTTCAAAGTTAGAGTTGGAAACATATTTCAAAGTTAAGGATTCATTATTTTGATATAGATTGCATTGGAACAAACACTAGCCTATAACATCTTAGTTGATTAGTTTATTGACAAAACATACTATATATTTAACATATGAGCAGAAACTGCTAACAAAAGCTTATTTGATGTCTATTTTAGAGTAAAAATTTTATAATCTATTCAAAACTAGTCACACACACACACACAGAAACATGATTTAAATTTAAACAGTAGGCTATTTTTGCGTTTACAGACACTAACGTTATTATATATCGCGATTAGAACAAAGCACAAGAATAAAACACTTACAGTTCAGCTCGCTCCTCGAAGTGAAAATAAACCAGCACTTTTACTGAGGTAGGTAAATGTCCCAGGATTATTCCTCACAGCCGCGCAAGACGACAGTACATTAATCCGACTAAATATAGTGTGTTTACCGAGTTGATATGTGGGCGTTTACACGTCTCAATGTGTTGCTTCAGATCATTAGCGTTTAAATAGCGCGCGCTCTCCGTGGGCGTGTCACGTTAGCGGAATAATGAGATGCGAGAACGATAATGAGAATGGCTGACACCTCTCTCTTTTTATATAGATTACATAAACGGAGAATATTTATTTTAGTTTTAAATTAGATAATTTAAAAGTACAAACTTAAATGATCATAAACATATACACTCACCTAAAGGATTATTAGGAACACCACACTAATACTGTGTTTGACCCCCTTTCGCCTTCAGAACTGCCTTAATTCTACGTGGCATTGATTCAACAAGGTGCTGAAAGCATTCTTTAGAAATGTTGGCCCATATTGATAGGATAGCATCTTGCAGTTGATGGAGATTTGTGGGATGCACATCCAGGGCACGAAGCTCCCGTTCC